TGGCAAAACCTTGCCAAGAAAAATGCAGAGACTCATCCAAGCCATCTCTAAAAATCGGTTGAAGTGTCCGGTTCTCTTTTTACTGGAGATGTTCTGAAATTGAAACAACCTGTTCTAATTTAGAAACATTTTGCACACTTCCTATCTTTAGTTGCATAGTTCTTATCTATCAGTTTATTGGGGGTAGATGTTTAACTGAGCGGAGTTTTCCCAGAGAACCTCTTTAAGAATTCTTTGAATGTTTTTTTTTATAAAAAGGCAATAGGTTGACTGTAAGACAAAGCAGATTTTTCAATGAGGGTTTGCAACTGGAAAAGGCAAATCCAGCTGGCATTTCACATGTTTTCTAATGTTCTGCAGGTATTAACCAGACTGTACACTGATGATGCAACTTTAGTTTGGAATGGGAATGCCGTATCTGGCCAAGAAGCCCTTGCTAAATTCTTTGAGATGTTACCATCTAGTGACTTTCAACTGAACACGTTTGATTGCCAGCCTGTTCATGGTAAGATAACTTAAGAAGAGAGTGCTACTATCCACAAAGTTACTAATATGCAGTACCATGGGTAATCTTTTCCATAACGTGAAGGACAAATAGCTCTACTCTGAAATGCAATTAAAATATTTGAATTTGTATAGGTAGGAGCTGTCTGAATGTTTCCACATCATTAGTGTGATTCTTACTTATTCTTTTAGATTTTAGAAAGTAGCGTAGTAGACTACCCTCCTGCTTAGTCCTTTTGAACGCAGCCTCCAATTCTGCATGTCGCTCCAACTGAGGAACGAACTTTCTCATAGCGCCCAGAGTCTCTTGGCAGGGTGAGACGAGCGGCATATAAATTAAATAAGTCTTTGTCCGCAGTGGAAATCCTCTTTTCCTCAGTTTGCCTGAAGGTTAACAGCATGTGGTTTGAACTATTGGTTCTCAAGAATGTGTCACAAAATGCTTGCAGTTGCAGAACAGAATTGCTAGCTTCGATGTACTTTGATAGGTTTGAACGAAAGAGGCAGGGGATACCAGCAGCACCTATGGGTGGGGGTGCATTTTTTTAAAAGGCAGGCAATTGGGTAGGTGCGTCCCTATGTATCCTGCAATGTAGACATCTCTTTGCTCAGATGAATAATGTGATAAAAAAAAGCTGCTGAATTTTCTTTTAAGTAGGTAGGGTAAAGATAAGGGAATCCCTGCAGATTTTACTCCACTGGTCATTGCCAACTACCCTGTTTCCCTGAAAACAAGACCTCCCCGGATAATAAGCCTAATCAGGCTTTTGAGCACATGCGCTAAAATAAGCCCTCCCCCCCAAAAAAATAAGCCCTCACCCAAAACATTTAAATACATGTGCAGCCGGTCCCTGCCATTTCCTCTGGGTGCTTGTCGCGCAAACAACACGAGGTGAGGCGGCGAGGCTGGAGTGAGGGGGAACAAGCTCCATGCAGTCCACACACCCTTACCTAATGGCCGCTCCCGCAACCCTAGCCTATTCTGCCATGTTAATGGCCACCGCAAAAAGAGTGGCAGGCCCAGCCACATGCAATACAGAAGCAGCCATGAGGTGACCATGCTCACCGCCTCCTGCACCGCAAAAATAATAAGAGCGCCCCCAAAATAAGACCAAGTGCTTATTTTCAGGATCAAAAGAAAATAAGACCCTGTCTTATTTTCAGGGAAACACAGGATAGGAGACAGTAATCTGTGTTTCAAGGCCAACATTTCCACGGTTATGTGGCCAGCATGACATCACCTTCCCACCAAAGTGGTGCCTATTTATCTACTCACATTTGCACGCATTTGAACTGCTAAATAGATGACTTCTAAGTGCCGGGAAAGATTTGGAATGAGATTGAATGCCTTTAAAGAAGACCTTTTCTTAGAAATGTCCATGCTTGTGTTTAGAAATAGACTCCTGAGGAGCAATTGTGTTCTAGCATCTTTCTCTTTCTTTTTTCAAGAGCAAGCGACCCAGAATCAAACTACTGTTCTTGTTGTGACCAGCGGGACTGTCAAATTTGATGGCAACAAGCAACATTTCTTCAACCAGAACTTCTTGCTAACAGAACAGACCACAAATAATAACACAGTCTGGAAAGTCATGAGTGACTCTTTCCGTTTCCAAGAAGCCCCTCATTAGAGAGAGGAGCAAGTTATCTTCTTCTGGATTATTATTGTTATTTTTAATAGCCTTGGTTTTGGGGGTGAGCCTGTTGAGTATGGAAATTCACCCGTCCCTCCGCATCTCTTTGTATGTTTCACAGTTATAGCATATGTTGTTTATTAATGAAAAAACTTTCCTGTTTTCAAGATTTCATTAGGATGCATCACAGCCAAGCTTAACTCTACTTGATTACCTCTTTAGGTGGCAATGGACACATTTTTATAAGCATTCTCTGCACTTTCCGACTTTAACAAATTTTAGATTTAACACATGACGGACCTTTCTTCTCTGAATATTTTGGGAGAAATGCTATTAGGCACAATTTTTGTTTACTTCAGTGAGAATTAAAATGATGGTGGGAAGAGACCTAGATTGTATCTGTGATTCATGACATCTTCTGGAATTTGTGGGCCTTGCTGAAACAAGTACAAGAATTTTGCTACAGGTTGGGTGAAACCTGAGCATGTAGCTGATTTATTCCTCTGGGATTTCCCTCTGTGTTTATGCTGTTTTTATACATGTTTGCATTTTTCAACTATTCCATAGCAGTAATTGCTTCAGGTTTCAATATTCGGGGAGAGAGAAAAGGTTTTATTAAAAGGGGAAATCCATCTCAGGGATTTTTCTGTTTGTTTGTTTGTTCTCTAAAACGTTCTTCGTTTGTCGTTTTTCACAGTGAAAAGTCAGAACATTTCTGAGCAGTTAGGGATAAATAAATTTAATGGGATAGAAAATGCCCCACGTTACTCTGTTCAATCTTGCATTTGTTCCCCAGTTTTTCCCAATCTGTAGGAAATGTGCCCAATACTTGTTTTGCTGCTCTCCCATGCCACAACATTGTTATGACCAAATCCAGTCGTGGATTTGAATCTTGGTCATGGTTGTCCCAAATGTGGCTTTTCAACTGGACTTTTTTTTCTCCTTGAAAATGTTTCTCTTGGCATCCCAGAATCTTCTTCGCTCTCTTTGACAATGGGACAATCTTGGTTAAGAGCTTCCTGTGTAATGTTTTGAAATGTCAAACGTTAATTCTCCCCCTTCTTCCGTGCCACAAATTTGAATGGTAAGAAGCATTTCAGGAAGAAAATTAACACTGAAAGCTTTCCACTAGAATCTGTTAGGCATCTGTGATTTTATCAGCTAAGACTCTTCGTTCATCCCTATGTACAAATGGCCCTCGACTTACAACCATTCATTGGGCAACTATCTGAAGTTACGACAGCACTGAAAAAAATGCAATTTATGGCCAGTCCTTGCATTTATGATCTCTGCAGCATCCATCCCTATGGTCACGTGTTTGAAATTTGGGAACTTGGCAACTGGGGATGTATTTGCAACAGTTATAGCATCCCAGGGTCATGTGATTGTCATCTGTGATCTTCCAACAAATGGCGGAAGCCAGATTCATTTAACAACTGCATATTCGCTTAACTGGCGTTTGCTTAGCAACTGTAGCCAAAAACAAAAAAAGGTGGCATGAGCACGACTCACATAACAACCATCTTGCTTAGTTTGTTTATGTTTTTTTTATGTTTTATTAAACATTTATAGGCCGCCCTTTTCCCTAAGGGGACTCAGGGCGGCTTACAATAATAAGGGAGGGGA